CTTGGGACAGCTGTACTGTACCAGGCTGCCCCAAGAGGAAGAAAGTGGTAATACACCTCGGAGTACTCCTGACCTAGAAAACCTTTGAATCGACCACACGTGATTATTATTATAGAAAGGGTAATCTTAGTCTTAATAATCTTAGATCTGGACAGCTGGAAGGGACTCTGTGGGATCATCAAGTCCACCCCTGTCAAGGAAGGTTCCATGGGGGAAACAAACTCCCAAACTCTGGCTCCGCAGCTGGAGGTCTCAACCACTGGGCTATCAGGGTTTGGAACCAAGATGGACTGAGAGGGTGACCCATGAAGACATATGAAAGCAAATGAATAAAGACCAAGAAACTGCAAAACAATTAATCAGCAAGACGGAGAAGGAAAGGGAGAGGTGTTGGGGGTACAGCACAACACAAGAAATGGAGCAGAGACTTCGGCCTAGTTAAAAGAAGTGAAGAAATGTAGCTGGCTGTTCCCAGGACCCTCAGGCCCAATAGGCCACCCCTGTGTGGGGTTTCCCCCCCATAGACTGAAAATATCTTCTGCTCGCTCATCCTCTCTTGGAGGTTGTCACATGGCTGAGCTTCTGCCTCAACCCCCTGATTCTCCCTTTTGATTTTCCACTTTTTGGTCTTCTTTACTGTTACATCCTGATTATGAGTTTTGAAAGCAGGATAAATTTCCTGGCTCATCCGGCGCCAGCTTGGCACAGAGACACAGCCTCCTAGTCTTGCTCTCAAACAGCTTACCTGCAATCTCTCTCTGTCTGGGTTGTGTTTTGAAGTGGCTTGGCCCGGAAGCAAGGCATGACAAAATAGGACAGCATATCTCACCGTTTAGCAAAGCAGCGGTGCAGAATTCGTGACCCTAAGAATCTTCATTTTCTTCTTTTCCCCTTGTTTTAAACTGCAAGTTCAAACTCTTAAGATTGCTTTAAAAAAAAAAAAAGGTTTGAACACGTGTGACCGATTACTACTGGAATCTCAAGAACAGGTGGAGGGAGATGGGATGCTGGGGACCGTTTGTGACGAGTGAACAGTGAGAGCGTTACTCTGTTTGACTATCACACCATCTCTCTCCTGAAAGACTTTTTCATTCTTTTTGCCCACAAAACACATGGAAGTGGTACACAACCAGCCGAGTGCTGACCTCTGGCGGTTTTCTCAGTTGCCATAGTCACAGAGGTATTTGTCAAGCAGCTAAAGATCATGTGATCTTTAGCCTTTTTCCTTCCTCTCTGTTTGCCCATTCACATGGGCCTGATCCACCAAAGGGGTTGCCTGGCCATGGAAGCTGCACATCAGCGTTATTGGACTGCACATCATGGATCATTTCTGGAGCATCTCCCTATGCATTACCACCTTTCAGGACACCTAAACCTTGGTTAGTTATGGCTAGAGTTTAGCACATGATCACCCATGATGAATGGTGGCCACGGACAGATGAACTCTCCATGAGTTTGTTTAATCTCCCGAGAAGAAGCAAACAGCCACTAGAACCTCAAAATTCACCCCTAAAAATTACTGCCACCACCCTATGACCATCCCGTTCTGAGATATCAAGATACGTTTCCCACACCTTTCCAAGCCTGTCGTGTGTGGCCACACGGGCTAGAAATTTAACTTTTTAAAAACCTTTTTTTAAAAAAAAAAGAGGAACGTTTAAATAAGATGAGATTCTCTCGATGATGTAATCTGCCCCTGCACGGTTACTTTGCTAAACCCATATTTTGCCTGTCACAAGAGCAGAGTCTTGTTCTGAGACCAAGGATCGTTTTTTAAAACAAAAAAGAACAATGCTCAGCATGTGTACCGCTGGAGTGATGGACGAAGACGCTGCAGACCAGGGTCCAAATCCCTGCTCAGCCATGTAAACTGATCTGGGGAGTGAAACTGGAAAAAAAACCACTCCTGAAATATCTCACTTACCTTGTAAGCCCTTGTTAGGGTCTCTGTAAGTCAGTTGCAACTTGACGGCCCATAGCAGCAACAACAACAATATGGTGCACAGAGATGAATTGCAACTTGACAGCCCATAGCAACAACAACAACAACAACAATATGGTGCACAGAGATGACAGCTGATAAGCCATGCCATCCAGCTGGCTCTACAGTGGACCCTCGACTTACAGACGGCTCAACTTACAGACTTTTCGAGTTACAGACTTCTCTGGCCGCAAAATTTAGATTCGACTTGCAGCCGGAGAATCGACCCACAGACCAGAAAAAAAACCCAAAATGGAACAAAAACAGAACAAAAACGGCCAGTTATGGGATTAATCGGTTTCCAATGCATTGTAGGTCAATGGAGACGCGACCTACAGACTTTTCGACCTGCAGCCACCGTTCCAATATGGATTAATTCTGTAAGTAGAGGGTCCACTGTATCTTCCTTTCCCACACATCTAACCAAAGAGTCTAGGACCCAAAGGAACAACGGCCAGCAGGACAGAAAGGCAACCTCGAGCATGACAAGGAGAAGCCCTAACAGCTCACACAACCCAAAAGCGTGTTGCTTTCCTGCATGAAAATAGTCTGTGCTGCTGCTGCTGTGTATCAGGTAGGAAAGCGCAAGGTGAGAGGACGGTCCAGGATCAAGGGAAGCAAGGTTACCTAAAGCAGAGCTGGGCTCCCTGGCTTCCCGGTCCGTGTGGCTCGCTCAGACCATCGGCTAAGCATGCTAAGCAGATCCTTCAGGCCCCCACCTCTCTCACTCACCCTGACGTCGTGAAAAATGACCCAGGGGGGCCCAGGGGGGGGCGGCAGAACGAGAGGGGGTGGCTCTTTGGCTTAGCCAGAGGGAGCCCATGCTCTGTAGAGTGGGTGGGGAAGGTTTGCAGGCAGAGAAATTTGTCAAAGATTTTAAAAAAAACCCAAATAAACTCCTTGGGAGAGGCAGCAGCCAAGAGACCTCAGGACTACTTACAAGGAGTATTCCACCCCCAGTGATGCTCATGTGCCTCAGGGAAATGTGTTCTCTGAGCATCTGTGGAGCTTAAAAAATGGGCCCAGGAAGGAAGAAATTGTAAAATTGTAAGTTAAAATTGTAAGTTCTTTGATTATATATTTTTCTGTTCTTATCTATGTACTGTAAATTGTGTATATTTTAAATTGTTTTCTATTTTTATGTTGTGAGCTGCCCAGAGTAGACCATGTCTAGATGGGCAGCATATAAATGCAATAAATAAATAAATAAAAAAGAAGCGTCCGTTTGACAGCAAGTGAGGTGACCTGCCTTAGGAGGAGATCCTGGGGTACTAATTAAAGCGACAAGCAATCGCCCATTGATCATTGATTGATTCATCAACTGCTTCTACTTTAGGGTGTGTTCCCTTAGGATTTCCTGCCTCGGGTGCAAGAAATGTTAAAGGCGAGGCTTCTATCAGAATCAGCTAAGAAAAGGCTCTCCATAGACACTGGCTTTGATTTGGATCATGCTATCTTTTCTTCTGCCAGGATTTTAATCCAGAAGACGGATGAAACCTGGCCTGCGTTATCCACTGACTGTTGCTAAAAAAGATGGGGGTTTTGTGAGCTGCATGGCATGATTCAGTGTGTGTGTGGGGGGGGCAGGAATTCTCTGTCCTTGCCAGTATGTTGTCGCAAATTCACTCTATTTTCATACAGGGTCTTCAATGGGCAATGAAGAGTCATGAACTTTATAAAAGACCTTGTAAGAGGGTTTTTTTTTACTGTGACTGGCAGTACAAGTGGCCCCCTGGAACAGTCTCCATGGCTAGCTTCCCGCCCCCTTCCACTTCCCATGGACAGTTGTAAAATACAGGCAACTGGTTTGGGCTATATCAGAAAAATAAGGAGCAAGTCTTTTATGAAGCTAACGGCTCTTCATTGCCCATTCGAGACCAAACCATCCTTCTGACACATCCTGTATAAGATGGGGACAGTTGGAGGCAGCAAATAACGGCAGAGTCTCTGCTAATCAGGGTATACTTGGCGACCTTTAATTAGAGGATGCCAGGGGCTGAACTTTCTATATGTGATGAGGCTGCATCACTGATCTGTGAGCCTGGACTGAAGAGTCTTCCCTGGAGGGGTCAGGGCAGAGGAAGAGAGGGTTGTGAG